GCAGGTGGGTTTTTAGCATATGATAAATATTATATGGCACTATACTCAGGCTGGCGCCTGTATCAATTAAAAAGGGGCATGATACATTAGGGGCTAGAAAAAGTTTGACAGTCAGTTGGTTTAGGGAGCCTACCTCAGTCTCGAAAGGGCTGCTCGGCTGGGGTGTCTCTGTCTTGACTTGGTTGTTGTGGAATCGGAACTGGTGATTTTGGGACCGTTTGCACTGTCCGGACTTTTTCGTGGGTCGTCGGGACTGGTCGACGTCGGCATTCGCTGTGCCAGTGTCTCGCGCCGCAGAACTTGCAGTTGGACGGCGGAAGAGGTGCATTCCATGCACCTGGGCGTCGGGGTGTGCTGTGGTACGGACCCGACATTGTGGGTGGTTGATCTTCTCTGGGTCGCGTTGTCGGTACACTGGGCCCGTGGATCCGCTGTACAAGTCGGAACCACTCTCCTAGGTTCTCGGGAGGCACTACGCGGACTAGGCGCTGGTCGTTGAATGGCAGTCCTTCTGTCAGCGTCTCGAGGATCACCTCCTGTGGAAGTCCTAGTTGCAATCCCATGGCGGTTTTCTCCCGGTAGTAGGTCTCTAGGTTGGTTTGCCCAGTAAGCTTCATGGCGAAATATTTCGCAAAGGACGCTTCGCTTGACTCAGGATAGAGATCTAGGAGGATTTGTCTCACCTGGAAGTAGCTCCGGTCGGCCATCCGAAGTTTCCTGAAGAGCTCCAGGGGTTGTCGCGCCAGATAGTTTGGCAGGCGGAGTAATTTTTCTTGTTCTCCCATGGATGCGTCTTCCATTTTTCGGTCGAATGCTTGGAAAAACTGTGTCGCGTTGTATGTGCCATCGAAAGGCGGGATTGCCGACTCCGCTCCATCAGAAATTTTTACCCGGGTCAGGAGCGCCGATAGCTGGTTGACGGCGTCCGCTAGGGGCGCAGTTGTCTCGCTCGTCTCTCTTACTTCCTGCCTCCCTTCCGTTGTTGTTTCCGTCGGGCCGTCCGACTTTATGCTTATGGGATCCTGATCAAGCTCCATAATATCTTTATCCTGTCGACTTAACCGTTCTGTGGCAATATCGTTGCGGAATTTCTTGTTGTTGGATGCGAATGGTGAGATTTGATTGAAGCGCAGTCGTTTGAGTGGAAGTTGCAGCATACAGTTAGGAATAATCAGGACACGTGATGGGGTTTGAAAATGAAAGGCAACTGGATTGGAGGAAAGAAAGCTTGAGAAGAGCTGAGCGATTTGACTTATTAATTATCTGATCACATGGCGGTGATTGACTTAGCTATGGGGTGAGCGGGAAGGTCTCGAGAGTAGATGTTACCTTGCTGAGAGCGAAATCACTACTAGGTCCGAACTTGGCGAGAGCGAGTGAACAACTGCCCACTCTTCCTTTTCGATTTTACACCAAGACTCAGTTTCTTTCTGATTGGTTGAGAGATGATCATATGATCTTTTCCTATTGGTCGACCTATTTAGGTGCTGTCTTCTGATTGGCCGGCGGTTTCCTTTGGTGTTGTTTTTGCCAGTAGATATATCCGATTTCGTCAGGAAGTGTTGGATAGCTCGACGCTTATAACTTCGGCGGATATTAGATACGTCCTGTCTTTGCCGGAAATATTGGGTGTTAGCTTAACATTTATAACTTCTGGTCACCAGATACATCCTGCTTTGTCAGGAAGTATTGAGTGCTTCTTGACTAATATAACTTCTGCGGCCACTAGATACGTCCGGTCTTTGCCCCTGCAATATTGACACAGGGGTGCCAAGAATAGTCGTGCCAGCTTTAGGCCTACTTCCTATGTCTTATTGCTACTTGCTTTCCTCCAGTTACCTTGTTCTTTATTAAGTCTTTGAAAATCATACATGGTACATACATAGTGGGTCGGGGTTGCATTTAATTATATACAAATTATGACATATATATACTGTTTTGAAAATAGAACGATCCATACTTAAATCATTAGATAATAAAAAGGCATATATTGGATTGAATAAAATATTAATTTGCCAATATTTCGGTTGGCTGAACGCCAACCTTTTTCAAGGCATTACATTTTTGTAAGGAGGGGATAATCTATATATATAAAATTGAATGTCTGTGTGTGTGTGTGTCCTCTATGGATTCAAAAACCATACATCCAATCGCCGTGTAATTTTGGGATATTATTAGGTGTATCTCCGGAAATGTTTACGAAAAATAATTTCTTGAATATCTTTAATATCCTTAGAGTTATTTGCAGATTTGTAGCTTTAACTCGCAAGCAACGCCATCTTGCAACGGAGATCTGCCCCTCCCCCCCACCGTCCGGCCGCCGGCCAGTTGGTTGGACATTCCAAGTTCCCACCGACCAATCAGAGGATCAAGAGCCCCCCCCCCGTCCGGCCGCCGGCCAATCACAATCAGAGTGATCAAGAGGTCCTGGCGCGCGGGGGGCGGGTGACCTCCGGGAACTACGTCCATCTTCCATAAACGACCATGATTTTATTCAACTTATCGAGTATTTTTCAAGGGACCGGGAAAATATGTTCACTAGATAAAACGATGATTTTGTAATGTAGAAAATTAGGAAAGACAAAATTCAGGATGACACGGCACACAGGGACCGGGAAAAAATAATCACTTTATCGAGAGATTCACGACCATGACTTTATTCAACTTATCGAGTATTTTTCAAGGGACCGGGAAAATATGTTCACTAGATAAAACGATGATTTTGTAATGTAGAAAATTAGGAAAGACAAAATTCAGGATGACACGGCACACAGGGACCGGGAAAAAATAATCACTTTATCGAGAGATTCACGACCATGACTTTATTCAACTTATCGAGTATTTTTCAAGGGACCGGGAAAATATGTTCACTAGATAAAACGATGATTTTGTAATGTAGAAAATTATGAAAGACAAAATTCAGGATGACACGGCACACAGGGACCGGGAAAAAATGTTCACTTTATCGAGAGATTCAAATTTACGAGTTTCAAATTATTAAAATATATATATATTTTTATACGTTTATAGAGAATTGTTTTACCAAATGTTCGTTAGACAAACCTTTACTCGTGTAAAACCTCGGGCGAAGCCGGGTACGTCCGCTAGTCTATATATATAAAAATGAATGTCTGTCTGTCTGTGTGTGTGTGTCCTCAATGGATTCGAAAACCTTACATCCAATCGCCGTGAAATTTTGGGATATTATGAGGTGTATCCCCGGAAAGGTTTACGAAAAAAGATTTCTTGAATATCTTGAATATCCTTAGAGTTATTTGCAGATTTTTATATTTAACTCGCAAGCAGCGCTACCATTGAGACGGAGATAGGCTTAGTTTGCTGCTCCTGATGACCTTGGGTCATCGTGTGAGTCACAGCATGATGCTACAAAAACACTCTCTCTGGGGATTTTACAGCGTCGACAACCTGTAAGATTGCCTCTCTCATATATTATACTTTAAACATCTGCTTAATTAAAGCATTTTTTCATTTGAAAGAGACTGCTCTCTTAACCCCCTTTAGACAACATTAAATGATATCCCGTGTCGATGATTTTGTAATGTATAGAATTAGGAAAGACAAAATTCAGGATGACACGGCTCACAGGGAACGGTAAAAAATGTTCACTTTATCGAGGAAATACAAAATTCGGGATGACACGGCACACAGGGACCGGGAAAAAATGATCACCTTATCGAGAGATAACGACCATGATTTTATTCAACTTATCGAGTATTTTTCAAGGGACCGGGAAAATATGTTCACTAGATAAAACGATTATTTTGTAATATAGAAAATTAGGAAATACAAAATTCAGGATGACACGGCACAAGGGACCGGGAAAAAATGATCACTTTATCGAGAGATTCAAATTTACGAGTTTCAAATCATCAAAATATATCTTTCTTTTTTTATATGTTTATAGAGAATTGTTTTAACAAATGTTCGTTATACAAACCTTTACTCGGGTAAAACCCGGGCGAAGCCGGGCACATCCGCTAATAATCTATAAAAATAAAGGTCGCATCTTCCGTCAAAATGTACTTTTATAGATGACTAGACGAATGACCCGGGCAACGCCCGGGTTTACCCGATTAAATGTTTTATTCAAACACTATTCGTTACAATTATAAATTGGCGCCGTGGATGTCACTCTTGTGAAACGTCCCGCTCCAAACTTTACAGTCAGATTAGTTACGATATAAATCTTCAAATCGAGCGAGCGTCTATAAATATTTCGATTTAGATCAAGTATTCTAATTATTAAGCGAACACTATTATTAAAAAAATTTTGAGAAGATTTCGATTTTAAACGTATTTATAACCTTGATAGAGGGCGCTGTTCGTGAGCTAAGTAGAATAATTTGAATATATAGTTTCAATATTTAATTTATATATAATTTAAAATAGCCTATCGTTTTCCTCGTATTTTTTTTACCTATGTATGGAAATTTTGGTTTGAATTAGTGAACTACTGCGAATTTGTATACCGGACATACAAACCAACAAACAAACAAACAAACATTCATTTTTATATATATATAGAAGATATAATATAAAAATGAGTTTTAAAAATTGTTTTAAAAAAATGCATCGGCCGGGAATCGAACCCGGGCCGCCCGCGTGGTAGGCGAGCATTTTACCACTGAGCCACCGATGCGTTTACAAAATGGCCATATTTGGGTATTCATTCCATTCCGGATTACTCCGCGTAAAAAAAAAGTTCTTCAAATGAAAAAAAGAAATAGCCAAAAATACTAAGCAAATTGTATCCAAAAATTTTCCTCAGGTTTATAAAAAGCGACATGCAAAATTTGGTACCAATTGGTTCAGTAGTTTTTGAGTTTATCGCGAAACAGACAGACAGACAGACATAAATTGACTTTTATATATATAGAGATTAGTGTTTAGGTATTTGATTTAATTCATATAGTTGATATAATAGTATATATTTATATTATATTTTTCATAAATTAGTTTTAAAAATTGTTAAAAAAAAATGCATCGGCCGTGAATCGAACCTGGGCCGGCCGCGTGGCAGGCGAGCATTCTACCACTAAGCCACCGATGGTTTTAAAAAAATGGCCATATTTAGGTATTCATTCCATTCCGGATTAGTCCGCGTAAAAAAATAGTTCTTCAAATGAAAAAAAGAAATAGCCAAAAATAATAAGCAAAATGTAGCCAAAAATTTTCCTCAGGTTTATAAAAAGCGACATGCAAAATTTGGAACCAATTGGTTCAGTAGTTTTTGAGTTTATCGTGAAACAGACAGACAGACAGACAGGAATTGACTTTTATATATATAGAGATTACCTCGCGTAAAAACAATGAAAGATCTGATTGAGCGGTGGTGTTTCAGGCGTGTAAACTGGAGCTGGTAGAGCGGGAGATGTGCTCGGTGGGGATAGAGGAATGCCCAGAGCCCGAGGAGCATCTGCCCGCCGGGTGTGGAGTGACGGGGTGGTCTGACTGGTCGCCCTGTACTGTCACATGTGGCAAGGGACGCCGTGTCCGCACACGGCTGTACCTCAGTTCCTCAGCTGCCAGCCATTGTAAGCTCAGACTGCTGCAGGAAGGGATGTGCACGGCGGACAAAGAAGACTGTGAGATTGACCCTGTGGAAGCCAACGGTATGTATCGATCTATCAATTTGGTCTCAAATATCAATAATTAAAATCTTTGATGTCGCCGGTCGTCTGCTTTTTTTTTTCTTGAAAATTTTAAAGGAGACAGAGGCAATTGTGTTCACACTTGGTTATCTCGTGTGTCTTCAATAAAGGTCATTGTGTATCAAATATCTTTCAGTTTTTGTCTGAATATCCCGATATACATGCTAAAAGATTCAACTTCTTTAAGTTTTGTCTATGAGTATATATTATAATTTTAAATAATTTAAAAAATGTTACAACTAAATAAAAAAAAAAAATAAACACATCAATATCACGATGTGCAGCTACATCTAGAATTCGATGTTTCCTGCTAGTCAGCGTATTGAAGAATCAGCGTGTCTTAAAGTTCCTTCAAGAATGGACTCTCACAATCTAATTCTCAAACTTAGCTTTCTTTTAGAACCACTTTGGATAATTCAGTTTTTGTTTTAAATTTTCCAATACGCCCAGACCTTCTGTTTCTTCAAATTCACTCTGTGAAGTCAATTTGTCTTATAAAATACTAACAGCTTGAGAAGTAACTATCAAAACAGAAGATCAGATATAAATATAATAAAAAACAAAACTTTATTAACTTTTTTATCATTTTATTTTTAGTGTCTCAGTTTTTTTTTATATATTTTTCTAGTCGATTTCTTGTTAGAAATTTGAATAATTTCTAATCATTTCGGCTAGATGAACTTTAAATACAAAAGAAAAGATTAAAAAATAAATCGAATTAAAGTTGTTTGTTCTTTATATGTAGATATGTGGTTGAAATTATTACATTCTCTATAAATGTAGGAAACACTATTTCTGAAAACTAATTATCTCTGTTTGACTTCTCAGAAAACACATCTACAATCTTTGTATCTTTTCTTATGTTGTTGGACTAGCCAATGTATGTGAGCTATAACGTCAACCTATCATACACTCCTAGACAATACTTAAGGATGTTTTACCTTTCAGCATGTATATCTGGATTCAGACAATAACTCTGAAAAATATTACAGTGACCTTTATTGAAGACACACGAGATACCCGAGTGTGTATACACTCATGGACAATACTTAAGGAAGTTGTACCTTTTAACATATATATCGGGATTCAGATAATAACTCTGAAAGATATTACAGTGACCTTTATTGAAGACACACGAGATAACCGAGTGTGTATACACTCATGGACAATACTTAAGGAAGTTGTACCTTTTAACATATATATCGGGATTCAGATAATAACTCTGAAAGATATTACAGTGACCTTTATTGAAGACACACGAGATAACCAAGTGTATATACACTCATGGACAAAACTTAAGGAAGTTGCACCTTTTAGCATGTATATCTGGATTCAGACAATAACTCTGAAAAATATTAGAGTGACCTTTATTGAAGACATACGAGATAGCCAAGTGTGTATACACTCATGGACAATACTTAAGGAAGTTGTACCTTTTAGCATGTATATCGGGATTCAGATAATAACTCTGAAAGATATTACAGTGACCTTTATTGAAGACACACGAGATAACCAAGTGTATATACACTCATGGACAAAACTTAAGGAAGTTGTACCTTTCAGCATGTATATCTAGATTCAGACAATAACTCTGAAAGATATTACAGTGACCTTTATTGAAGATACACGAGATAACCAAGTGTGTATACACTCATGGACAATACTTAAGGAAGTTGTACCTTTTAGCATGTATATCGGGATTCAGATAATAACTCTGAAAGATATTACAGTGACCTTTATTGAATATACACGAGATAACCAAGTGTGTATACATTCATGGACAATACTTAAGGAAGTTGTACCTTCTAGTATGTATATCGGAATTCAGATAATAACTCTGAAAGATATTACAGTGGCCTTTATTGAAGACACACGAGATAACCAAGTGTGAACAAATTTGCCTCTGTGTCATTTAAAAAATCCGACGACCGGCCTCATAAAAATATGAAATTTCCTCAAATATTTGTGTGTAGGATACATATTATATTTTTTATATGCCAAAAGAGACACCTCTCCCTTTAAATGTGGATCAGAACCATGGAACGAGTGCCATCGTTTTGATGAACATTTAAAGGAAGAGATGTCTCTTTAGGTTCATGGATATCATCTTTCCGAAATTATACGTTGTAAAGATTTTTTATAGGTAGGGAATTTTTGATATTTATAAATACGCAAGTGTGAGCTGTGGGCTCTGTATATTGTAATCCTTCAGTGTATTAATGACGTTATCGAGGGAGGTCTACAGTAGCTAGAGGGTTGATCAGGTGTGTGTCGGTAGTAAGGAATCCGTGCTCGTGTAAGCCAACACGTGTAAGGTGGGCAGTCCTATGTCGTGAAAGATGTGAAGTACTATGTGAAGCATCATGTGAAGCACCATGCTGTGTGAAGCTGTGTGAAGCACCATGCTGTGTGAAGCACCAGCTGTGTGAAGCACCATGCTGTGTGAAGCACCAGCTGTGTGAAGCACCATGCTGTGTGAAGCACCATGCTGTGTGAAGCACCATGCTGTGTGAAGCTGTGTGAAGCACCAGCTGTGTGAAGCACCATGCTGTGTGAAGCACCAGCTGTGTGAAGCACCATGCTGTGTGAAGCACCAGCTGTGTGAAGCACCATGCTGTGTGAAGCACCATGCTGTGTGAAGCACCAGCTGTGTGAAGCACCATGCTGTGTGAAGCACCAGCTGTGTGAAGCACCAGCTGTGTGAAGCACCATGCTGTGTGAAGCACCATGCTGTGTGAAGCACCATGCTGTGTGAAGCACCATGCTGTGTGAAGCACCATGCTGTGTGAAGCACCAGCTGTGTGAAGCACCATGCTGTGTGAAGCACCATGCTGTGTGAAGCACCAGCTGTGTGAAGCACCATGCTGTGTGAAGCACCAGCTGTGTGAAGCACCATGCTGTGTGAAGCACCATGCTGTGTGAAGCTGTGTGAAGCACCATGCTGTGTGAAGCACCATGCTGTGTGAAGCACCATGCTGTGTATAGCAGCATGCTGTGTAAAGCACCATGTCATATGTAAGATCTATAATATCATGTTGAAGATGACACAATGTTACATGTGAGATGTACAGTATGATGTTGTGTGCAGAACCGTGTCAGATGTACAGTATCTTGTTATGTGTAATGTCAGAGTTGTATAATATCATGTTGTGTACAGTACCATGGTCAAATATAACATGTACAGTACCATGTTGTGGTGTACAGTACCATGTTGCATATGGTACAATGTCATATGTGATAGATTTACAGTAACATGTCAGAGATATCCAGTACCATGTGATAGATGTACAGTACCATGTTGCATATGGTACAATGTCACATCTGATAGATTTACAGTAACCTGTCAGAGATATCCAGTACCATGTGATAGATGTACAGTACCATGTGATAGATGTACAGTATCATGCTGTGTTGTACAGTAACATGCTCGCTGCCCAAGGAGCCCGGCCCCTGCCGTGGCTACTACCCCCGTTGGTACTTCAACTCCACCACGGGCCACTGCACACAGTTCATGTTCGGGGGCTGCCGCGGCAACAAGAACAACTTCCAAATCTACAACGATTGCTTCAAACTGTGTCAGATGAGGTTCGGCAGACTTCGGCGTAAGTCCTCCTTGTGGCCATCCCTACTGATATACATAGTCACCTAATATTCACTTCTATACATAGGCTGGCTATGCTATACATAGGATGAATATTCATTGTCATTGTCCCTGTATTGCTGTGACATAGTCGTTGATCTGATTCTGAACCATTTAGGATGATATCAACAATGTAATCGGTCGTAAAGATAGATCGTATAGAGGCATTCATATTTCTTCAAATTAAAGATACTTCGACCAGTAAATCTTTTTATTATCTCGACGTTTCAACAAAAATCTTTTATCCTTGTCAGGAGCAAACAAAAATTAAAACAATTTTCAAGGCGTTAAAAATAATTATAATATATATATATAAGCCTTGCCAAATGTTTTAATTTTTGTTTACTCCTGACGAGGACAAAATAATTTTGTCGAAATGTCGAGGTAATAAAAAGATTTACTGGCCGAAGTATCTTTAATTTCAAGAAATATAATAAATGTTATTAAGCAAGTTTTATCAATGATAACTTTGGCCGACAACATCTGTTGCCATCGAGATAATAATTAGGCGTGCTGTTTACAAATCTGCAAACCTTTTATTTCTATCAGCTATCGTTTTCAAGGAACAGTGTTTCCATCCTTTATGTTTAAGACGTTTTTTCCCCTTCGGCCATGTTTATATTCCGGTTGTACATAGTTCAACTCTTGTTAAATATCAACCACAATGGTGAAGACGCCATATTGCCTGAAGTGGCAGGTCAATTTTGTTATTGAAGAGAAAAATATAACTAAAATATTATTAAAGAAATTTACGAACTA